CTGTAGAATCCATTTAGAGGCTTGATTTAACATTTCCAAGGGAAACTAGGGAGAGCTCAGGCAACTTCCTGGCTTCTCTCCACCATTGTGGCTCTACCCCCAAACACTGCAGGTGCTCTGCTCAAAGTAATACAAATTTTGATCGCTGAAACCTCACAAGATATCTAGGGGTTTACAGGCTCAATAAACATTTAGAGGCAAAAGAACTCTTTCAGGATGCAGGAAGGACTTGGGATGGAAACCATTTGTCCCACCCTCAATCTCTTTTGTCATTTGTTAGAATTCATTCCATCAAGACCAGGGATCTATTGGAAATTTTTCATGGGACTAGATCTCAGGGCAAAGGCTAGCCTGAAAAGAGGACCTGTAGAGAAGCAGGCAAATATGGAGACAACAAACAGGAGCTGCTTCAGAAACCTTTCAGGGATTTTTCATCAGTGGGCAGTGAGGCCATACACCTCTGGTGTAGTCAGAGTCAATGGTGTGCTAATGAACCTTGGAAATCAAGATTTGCTGACATAGAGTGGCTATCATTTCCTAGGGTGGGTTAATATCCAGTTGTCCCTATCCAACAAACTCAGTCATTATTATGGGAAGAGAAGACAATCAGACTTCACATACTGAGTCAAATTGTTTGGCACTTAAAACCCCCCATGATCTGGTTGAAATTCAGCCTATCTTTCCTCTCAAACTGGACTGTTTGATGTTCCTCTTACGGGAGATACCATCTCCTGCCTCTGTTTATTTGCACAGGCTGTCCTATTATTCTAATGCTTTCCCACCTCTCTGTCTCTTGGGCCTCCTAGTACCCTTTAAGACCCAGCCTTCAAGAGGCATTTCCTGATTCTCTCAGTTGTTAGGATCACACAGTCACTTTCTATAAAATCTCCCACTGCATCCTGGGTCATTGCCAGTTGTTTTGACTTATGTCTTGCCATTGGACTCTGATGATTCTGGAAGAGTGAGGCTGATGACTTTTCACAGCCTTCCTTTACTTAAATCCAATTCACTTGCAAGTCAAGACATCAACCCCATGATGTCATTGATCCTTTTCAAGAACAAAGGACAAACAACAATAACAACAATAACAATTTCTATTGATTCTATTTCTATCTTGTCTATATTGCAAACAAATTGTATCCCACCATGACCCACTTCAAGAGAAAATAAACTCCTTTAGGACAAAGACTCTCAATTTTGTATTTCCAGAGTCTGGATAGCTCCTGGAAAATGAAAGGTACTAAATAAATGCTTATGGAAAGTTTGAATAATAAAACCATCAAAAATACAGTTTTGTCACTTGAGATACAAATAGTAATTCTAGCCAACTTCTAACATAAATTGTTAATCTAAGGAATATTTACTTGTTTTTAAGGAATTTCTAGTATTACCCAATAGAAGTTCTGGAAGACTTAACTAATAATAGCTAGCATTTATATAGCGCTTCAAGGTTTGCAAAGCATTTTATAAGGGTTATTTCCCTTGATCTTCACAGCAACCTTATGAGGCAGGTGCTATTGTTATTCTCATTTTACAGATGAGGACACTAGGGCCAAGAAAATTAAGTGAATTGCTCAAGTTAATACAGTTAACAAGTGTCTGAGACAGGATTAAATCAGATCTTCCCTAATTTTAAGATCACCTCTCTATACTATGGCACCTAGTTGCCTTGATTAATAAAAAAAAAAAAAAAGTAGACTTGTACTTAGGAGCTTTCATTTGGAGACCATAAGTTTGTTAAAGTCTTCTGTTCTAAGTGAAATGAACACCCCCTTCCCTTCTCTACCCTGCTAAGAATTCAAAACAGGCTAGATTAAATGACTACAAATTACAAATGTATGAAATCTGAATTAATGAGGTTGTAAGATTGATGGCATATAGAAACTTCACTCTTTCTGAAGGCCAGGAGGGGTAGCTCAAGGGAAAAGAATCTTAGGATAACAAATTTGAAATCATAAAGGAACTTTGAAACCATGTAGCCCAATGCCTTAATTTTCTAGATGAATAAATTATGGACAAAAGAGTGACTTGCCCAAGGGCAGTCAGTGGTACACTTGATATTTGGACTCAGGTCTCATGACTCCAAATTCAGAGCTCTTTCCACTGAGCCACAAGGCAATCAGAGGGCCTAGGTTTGAACCTTGGTTCTGTTCTTTACTACCTATGTGATGCTGGGCAAACTCATGTACCTTCTTTGGTTCTCAGTTTCCCCATTTATACAATTTTTTTAAAAGGATTGAACTAGGTGATGTCTAAAGTCCCTTTCAGCTCTTAATATATGATTCCATACCACACTTTCTTCTCAATATCTTTCTGACCTGTGCATCTTTTTGTTCCCTTCAAGACCATTGCAGTAGATGGAAACTTTAGGAAGACTAAATATGAAGAGCTTCTGGTCCCTTCCAGCTTGGAGGCTCTGTGATTCTCCCATCTAAGTGGCCCTTTGTGATCCTCTACACTGAGGGATCTAATTTATCATAACTCCTAGGAATAGAACCTGAACTCCTAGTTCTAGGGCCTATCCATCTGCTATGCCTATGAGAGAGGCATTGGCAGGCACAGCTAAAGATCTGAAAGCCATGTGCTCTTTGTTTACAGGAAGTGTGAACAAGGAACACGTGCACATAAGCTGCTTGACAATGGGCTAATACAATCTATGGCAAAGAATTAACATGTCATCACAGGATCATAGATAACTAAATCATATCTCGTGCAGCCAAGGAGAGCTTCCAAGAAATCTTTTTTTTTTTAAATGTCTGAGCTGCATGTCATCAAATGATTATTTTTGAATGTGGGTATGTATGTCTATATGTGAGGGAAAAAATTACACCTTTTCAGGAAAGGGCTGGAATCTTCATGGCTCTTTTCCTTGCTACCTCCCTTTGTAGAGCTGGAGCCCTTGATCATGTCCTTGGCCCACATTCTACATAGACAAGTCTCCCCATGCCTGTTTTCTGGCAGAGATTTAGGGATTTGATTTTGATAATCTGAGTAAGGTGGCATGATCAACTTGGGTTTTTCTTTCGAGCAGCACCCTCTGTTTGTCAGCTGCCAACTCAGTCATTCACATTTATATGTTCAACAAATATCTACTTAAAACAAATTTGCTGTAATGTATTTTGTTTTTACATACCTTCATTTACACACATATGTTTGTGTGTATGTATATATGTATACACACATACATACATACATACGTGTGTATGTATTCCTTACCCATCCAGATTGCTATATCCAGTATGAAAAATAAGGAGAAAGTAAGTAGTTCATTAAAACTAGCCAACACACCAACCAAGTCTAACAATATGTGTATGCAATGTCCTACACCTATCAGCTTCCATTTTTGTAAAGCATAAGAGAAGATATATCTTCTTATCTCTTCTTTTAGACCACTTGTTTACTAGCATTATACATATACATATAATTAAGTAAGTGCATATATTTGTTTTTGGTTTTAGTCTTCCCACTTATATTGTTTTAGTCCTGTATATCATTTTACTGGTTCTGCTTATCTCATTTTGTGCAAGTTCATATAAGTCCATTTCCTTGTGTTCCTTACATTCTTTTCTTTTGGCATATATTCCATTTTATTCCTGTGCACAACATTTTAGCCATTCCCCAATAGATGGGCATTTTCTTTGTTTCTAGCTTCCTTTGATCCTACAGAAAGCACTTCTAAAATTGTTTTCATGGATACAGAGCCATTTTTTTCCTGTTTTTAACTTACTTGTGGGATTTATACCTAGCAGTGGGGTCTCTAGGCTAAAGAGCGTGGACATTTTGGGCTTCTTTCTTGGCATAATTCCAAATTCCTTTCCAGAATGGGTGGACAACAGCTCTACCAACAGTGAATTAATATGTCTGTCTTGCCAAAATCCTGAACTGTTTTGGGGTCCAAGGACCTGGTTCAACAGACATGTATCAAATCTTGTGTATAGAACACTAGGTCCAGGAAGCCACAAAATACAAGCTTAAAGTCAAAGAGGGAGATAAAGTACAAATGCAGATAGAAATAATTTACAACAATATATATACAAATGTATTAAGTATAAGTAAAACAAAGTGCTATGCAAAATTCAAGCACTAATGAGGGTAATAAGGCTATTAAGTTATATTATAAAAGTTCCTTGTTATGCCAGGAAACAAGATTGAGGTCAAATTATAACTATTTCATTTGGATAAATACAAGATTTTATGAGGTCATCCCACTCACTAAATATTCCTATGCTTCAATAAATCTTTGATCTGCCTTCATTGGTAATGTATATACTTTGTTATTCTTGTGCAATTCTTGTCCATGTTCTTCCATAAATCCTAAATAGAGAGTTATTCAATAGAGGAGACATTATTTTAGGTTTTTAATGGTCAGTCAACTAGCATTTATTAAACACCTACTATGTACCTAGCACTGTGCTAAGCACTGGGGATACTCATGAACACCAACACAAATCTTGGGTTTTCAGGTGCCCTAGTCTGTCTGAGTCACGTTTATTTTCTTATACTTTTAGCATATATAGTAGATGAAAGAGTAAAATCTATTTTATTATCAAAGTTTTCTGGTACTAAATGATCCATTACATGACATAGAGATCACAGGGGACCAAATATGTTCTTTTATGCACATTCATACTCTTAATGATATCTCTTTTATCAATTTTGGTGTATGCCATTGTTGGTGATCTACTGTAACTTACTCACACCCATCATGCATCTTTCCATTGCCTTTGGGATGCTCATAACTCAAAATTAAGAAATGCTAAAAGTCCCAAAATTCAAAACCATGGAGACCTACATATTAAATATTTTATTTAAATTTCATGAACCTATTTTTCTCCTCCTACAAGATACTCCCAAAACTACTAGATGAATGGAGAAACAATTAAATAATAAAGTGTGGAGGACTCAAGATAAAGGCATGACCCAGTCCTTCAGGAGGGTGAGAGTTTCCAGCTTGTCCTGATGTTGGGTCATTTAACACTGGCACCTGTTTTCTCCCCTAGGTTGTTTGGATCACAGCCACTTTGCCCTATTTTGTACTTTTTGTGTTGCTGATTCATGGAATTACTCTCCCTGGAGCCTACAATGGAATCACTGCCTACTTGCACATTGATTTCCGAAGACTGAAGGAGGCCACGGTCAGTGTTTGTCTTTCTTTCTTGGACTAGTTTGGTGTCAGACTATCTGGGTTCAAATCCTAACCCTGCTACTTGCTACATGTGTGACCATGAGCAAGCCTGATTCAGTGATCCTATGCCTTCAAGTTTTTTTTTTCATTATACTGTGAATTTTTCTAATGTAAGCGTGAATTTTTCCACATTGTCGTGAAAAGAATGCTCAATTTTGAGTTTTGGTTTGAATCTTGACTATGTTCCTTAATTACTTGGGTGACCTGGACCAAATTATATCACCTCATCTGTAAAATTAGGTAATTGGATTAGATGATCTCTTCTAGCCCTAAATTCTATGATGATAAAAAGAAGACAGCAAATCCACAAACCTTATTCTCCTTACTTATAGGAGGGCACTAGTCATGTGCCCACCTCCACTCTGTGTAATGTCCTATGCCCACCTCATTCTCCTTATTCCAATCCCACATCCTTACCAGCTATGCCTTTGCCTTTGCCTCCTTCCCCAAGTGTCATGCTCTATATTCCTTCAGTCCCTGATTCCTCAACCCCAACTTCTTTACTCTCTGTACTCCTGACCCAAACCACTACCCTCTCCCCTTTTGGTCCTCATTCTGTCTATGATAGGGCATGATGATGGTCAATGTAGGGGAGGCTTGGGACAGCCAAGGTAACTTTGTATACTCTTTCTTTTTCACTCCCTCCCATCCCAGGTTCATAAGGAGAGATCAGGAATGGGCCATATGATCTCTCCCCATAAAGTAGCAGAGAATAGGACAGATTCCCACATATCTGAAGCAGCTAGGGAACTTTAAGAGGAAACAAAGTGAGGAACTAATATTGAGGCAGTTCCTAAGATTTCCTTCTCTTCTAGTATTCTCATCTCATAACAACATCTGCTTCAGCTAAATACCTTGATAATAATCCTTTGTGCTTCTAGAATAGAGGCGATGTTGCATAATGGATGGAATTCAAGATTTGGGTAGAGGAAGCTCTGGTTCAAATCCCACCTCTGACACTTACAAGATGTGTGACCTTAGGCAAGTCATTTAACTTCTATATGCCCTAGGCTACTACATTGGACTTTTGGGAGAAAGAATTAGCTAGGTGCACCATTTCTATAAAGTTGTATTTTTTCCAGAGTACTTTTATACATATTGCTATTATAGTGCACCAGAAAAAAATATCGATTCTAGAGTCAGAAAATTTGGGTTCAACTATCACCTTTGATTCTAGCTATGTTACCTTAGGCAAGTCACTCAACCACTCTGTAGGATTCAGGCAACTGTTTGTAAATTATGGTAGAGGTCTCTGTGAGCAAAATTTCTAGAGTGTTACATTTTTTCCAGAGTATTTTCATTCATGTTGTTATTTTAGTACAGTAGAAAGAATATTGATACTCGAGTCAGAACACTTGTGTTCAAATCTTGTCTCTGGTACCTGTGTGACTTTGGGCAAGTCACTTAATGTCCCTTGGCTTCAGTTTCTTCATATGAAAAAATGTTGGGGTCAGACTAGATGCACTCTGAGGTCTCTCTTCTCTCTAGATTTGTACTCCTCTTTTGCTCCTCATGAGAAGAATTTGAAGTAGATAATACAGGAATCATTGTCCTTTTCTTGAAGCCATGGAACTGAGACAGTAAGGGATTAAGTAACTTGTTCAGGATCCTGTAGTGTCTTCATGACAGAGCTAAGGACTGGAAATAAAATGTAGGTCTCTGTGCAAACTGGTCCAGTCAGTGCATGACAATATTTTCAGCTCCTAGATGGGCACCATGATAATAGTACCATTATATATTTCTCTAGTTCTGTAATGTTTACAAAGGGCTGTAATGTTTACAAAATGCCTTCCTAATAACTCTGTGAGGTAGGTGGTGTAAGTATAATTATCCTCTTTTACAGGTGAGAAAAGTAAGACTCCAAATGGGGAAATGACTTGCCCCTAGTTACATCATTAATAAATGTCAAAGTCTAGCATTCAAAACCAGGTTTTCCAATTCCAAAACCAAATTTTTTTTGCACACTGGCAATATGCTGCTAGCAAATACCTCTGACTTGGTAGGAAAAGAAACCTTTTATATGAAGAGATAGAAGTTTATTTAGGGCTACTGGTCAGCAAAAAAAGGGAAAAAAAGAAAGAGTTTAATTTTGTTGAAAGACAAAGAATGTAATCATGGTACCAGTGCAACAGTTGCTCACATCTGCTTAGAAATATCATTGCAGCCTCTCTTCCCTTTTACATCAGCTAAGTGTCTGTTCCTTCATGGTCAAGGAAGAGGAAGATAGATTTATGGGTGCCCTTGTTTTGTCTACACAGGTGTGGATTGATGCAGCTACTCAGATATTCTACTCATTAGGAGCTGGATTTGGAGTTTTAATTGCATTTGCCAGTTACAACAAGTTTGACAACAACTGTTACAGGTGAGAATCTGCTTTGTGATTGGGTGAATTTTCTTTTTTCTGCTTAGTTGATGGGTAATATGGGTATTCCTCAGTTGAATTCATCCTTAACTCAGAACCTTCCCAGAATAGATACAAGGCGGAGAGGCAAAAAAAAAAAAAAAAAGGAGTATTCAAAGATTCCAGCTTCCTAGATGTCCTTTTGTGTCATGTGGGTAGAGGCAGAGCAGAGATCATCAGGTAGATGCCAGAAAAAGGGAGATCCAGATTATATAACAATGATCAGTTATTAAGCATAAGGTAGGTAGTACAAGTATTATCACCATTTACAGATGAGGAAACATACTCAGAAGTTAAATTACTCACATAGCTAGTAAGAATCACAGCTGGGACTTGAACCAGGTCTTTTCTGACTCTAAGTTCAAACTACTTTCTGCTATGTCATGTTCTGACTTTTTACTTTTTATACAGGTCAAGAGTGTTCAAAAGCTGTGTGGAGGTCAAGGAATATGAAGACAAATAAAAGGCCAATAGATTTTATAATCAGGATGTCCCTGATGGGTTTGAAGGAGAGAGTAGTTTTAAGTAGAATGTCAAAGGCAAAAGCAAGATTGCAAGGGGTTGAAGAGACAGTGGAAGCCTTTTTTCCCTAGAAATTTGAAAGTGAAGGGCTGATGGAGGAAGGATGGAGGATGTTGGCAATAGAATGCCAGTTAGAAGGTATTTTTGTTGTGGCCTAGGGAGACCTAATTATCTATAAGCAGGTGAAGGAGGAGATACTGATGATGAGTGAGAGAAGGGTTGACTAAGGGAGCAAGGTCTTAGAGAAAGCAATGGGATCAAGGGCACAGGGGGAAGAATTGACCTTCAAGAGAAGTAGAACTACATCTTCTTTTTCTGACCCAAAAGAATGGGTAATGAAGCTGAGAAGGTTTGAAGAATGAAGAAGGGAATTCATGTCAGATGTCCTCAGTCTTCTTAGAGATGTAGGAGTTGAGATAATTTGATGTAAATGAGTATGGTTGGTGGGGGAAAGGGGAAGTGTAGTGAGTGTGTAAAAGAAGAAAAGGTTTTCTGGTAAGACGGGGAGTGAGGCAGGGAGTTGTAACACACATCTTAGAATATGCTAAGTGCAAAATCAAGTCCCAAAGCATGAGGAAAAACTTGAAAATGGACAGAACAAATCAAGTAGGATTAATTTTGAGGGCTGGACCTATGATTTCCTCAAGGTAAGGAGCTCAGGGTAAGGAACTGCCTCTACCAATGAAGATGGGCACCTTCCCAACAGCCTATTTGCCACTCATATAGCTAGTATGTGTCAGAGGCAGGATTTGAACCCAAGGATCTATGGATTTCATGGTTAGCTAGCTCTCATATCATACTGACTCTTAAGATGAAATTTAATAGGGACAAATGTAAAATTCTTCCCCTAGGTCCAAAATTTCAACTTTGTTGAATGGAGGAAGCATGACTAACCAACAATCATACAAAAAGGTCTGAATGTTTCAGTGATGTGTGAGCATTCAACATATGTCAAAAGTATAACAAGGAAGCCAAAAAAGTTCATGGTATGAGGGGAGGCTGCATTAAGAGAGGTGTCAGGAGCACAATGTTTGGTCTGTGCATTACCACATTTTGAAAAAGACATAGATAAGTTTGAGCAGGTCCAGAGGAGGACAACCAGCATGGTGAAAGACTGGACCCAATGCCATGCAAAGATCACTTGTGAAGGAATCAGGGGTTTGTAGCCTTGAGAAGACTTAGGAGGGAAGAAAATAGCAGTTTTAAAATATTTGAACTATCATTTTTAAGAGTAAAGAGTATGTTTTCTTCTGCTTGACCCTAGAAGAAAAGATTAGAAACAATCAGTAGAAGCTGCAAGGAGACTAATTTAGGCTTTAGGTAATGACAAACTTCCTAACATTTAGAGTTACCACAAATGAAGTGAAATGTCTTAGAATATAATGTTCTCTTCATCATTAAAGATCTTCAAGTGAAGGCTCTTGGGCATGTTGTAGAAGGGATTCTCAGATATGACCTGGACTAGATGGCCTACAAGCTCAACTAGTTCTATGATTCTGGGATCAGTCAAGGAGTCCAAGGAAGGCTTCTTGAAGGAGGTTGTGCCTGAATTGGGCCTTGGAGGAAGTAATTCATTGGATGTCCTTATCAAAGGTGTCCAGAACTCAGGCCAGCAAGACAAAAGAGCCAATAGAAGGCACCAACAATCAAAATGCAATGACCCCAACAGCAAAGCAAGGTTCTAGATTTTCTTGGGCCTTTATATATACTTTATTCCAGGTTAGACACTTGTGCTAGGTTATGAGTATCTTTGAGCCTATAGATAAGGACAGGTAAATGAATGTGTTTTATGTGTTGGGCAGGCAGCTCTGGAAATGGGAGATTCCTGAACTGCCGGATCAGCTTGATTTATGGTGATTTTTCCCAGCACAGTAAACTTCTTGAGTTCACCAACAGGTCGCGGTAGATAATATTGGAAGAATCACCAGAGAAGAATTCAGCTAATGAATAACATCCTTCTTTCCATTCATTGCAAACTTTAACAGTCTTCTTCTTTTACCCCAGAGATGCTCTGCTAACTAGCACCATCAACTGTGTCACAAGTTTCATTTCTGGATTTGCCATCTTCTCCATATTGGGCTACATGGCTCATGAACACAAGGTCAAGATTGAAGATGTGGCAACAGAAGGTAGGGAGGCTCAGTCTCAACTATTTAAAACTAAAGCTTTATAATCTAGATCTATTCCTAATAAAGATGGGGGGGGAGGCATAGAGAATAGAAAGTCTGCACCTGTGATTTAATTGCTAATGAGAAATTCTTGTGTGGAAACTCCCTCCAGATTGAAAATTAACAACATACTATAACTTAGAACAGGGGTGTGGAACTTGTGGCCTCAAGTCCACAAGTGGCCCTCTTGGTTCTCAGGTGTGGTCCTTTGACTGAGTACAAACTTCACAGAACAAATCCCTAAGGGATTATATTTGCTAATATTTGTTAATACAAATATTATTATTATTTGTTCTGTGAAATTTGGATTCTGTCAAAGGGCCACACTTGAGGACCAAGAGGGCCACATGTGGACTCGAGGCCACAGGTTCCCCATCCCTGACTTAGAATATTAGAAGGATGCCTGGGGTACTGAGGAGTTAAGTGATTTGCCCATGGTCACTTCACTAGCATGTGTCAGAAGCATGAACCCAGGGCTTCCTGACCTTCTGTATAATGGTACATGTATAACCTATATCAAATTGCTTGCTGTCTTAGGAAGGGAGGAGAGAATTTAGAACTCCAAATTTAAAAATAAATGTTAAAAATGTTTTTTACATGTAATTGGAAAAAAATCACAAAAAGATCCTGTATGTACTTTGATATACTGCGTCTCATTTTATTTTGTCAACAAATTTGTTCTATGAAGTTTGGATTCAGTCAAAGGGTTGCACTTGAGGACCTAGGAGGCCACATGTGGTCTCAAGGCTGCATGTTTCCCACTCCTGGCTTAGTAGATTTGTCCAAGGGAGCTGCCTGAGACATACAAATGTTAATAACTAAGGTCTCACATCCAGTTAAGTATTAGAAGCATGATTTGAACCATTCCTGACTCCAAATCCAGCCCTATCCAGGACTCTATGTTGCCTCTTGGCTCTGAAATACCACCATGAATTTAATAAATAGCTATTCTCATAGTGTGTAAATGTTTAGAAAGCATCTTCTTCACAATACCTCTGTGAGATAGTTAATACAAATATTATTATTATTCCCATTTTACAGATTAAAAAACCTAAATTTTAGAGGTTATAGTGACTTTCACTTAACAGGCATTTATTTAGTATTTACTACATACCAGGCAATGGAGATAAAGAGGTAAAAATAAAACAATCCTCACAACATTCCTGTAAACAGGAACTTGCATTCTGTTGGGAAAAACAATGTGTTCACATGCAAATAAATGCAAAAATGTATACAAAATTGTTTCAGGAGGCACTAACAACAATAGGAAAGGCCTCATGGAGAAATGGAGCACTTGAGCTGAGCTTTGAAGGAAGTTACAAATTCAAAGGGGTGGGAGTTGCAAAGCCCTTAGGCCTCAAATTCAGATCAGCCTCAACTATTTTACCTCTCTAAGAAATCGTTTTTCAACCTACAAGTAGGTCACTGAGAGATAGAAATTTGTTAGCTATTATCAACCCTCAAATTTGAAATTTCTTCTTAAACCAGGAGTATAGTGGCAAGGACATGTTTGTTAACTGACTGTTGACTGAGATGTTCTCGTAGGAAAATTCAGGAATGTCTGTGACCAAGTTTTAGTCTATGTGATTCAAATATTTTTTGCAAGGGAGCTCAGGGGAGGAAGGTATTGCAGGGAAAAGTCAGAGAAGTCTTTACAGAGGAGGTGAACTATGATCTGGGCCATTAAGGATGAGTATTGTTTGACTGGAAGAGAGAAAGGAGGATGAGATGGAGAAAATAGCATGGAACAAGTCGAGTGGAGAACCCTCACATTCTGCCTCTGATTCAATGGTGTCACCTATTCCAAGCCACAGTCTGGAGTCTTCAGCTGAGGCCAGAGCTGTCTAAGCTCCAAGAATGTTGTTAGTGTCAAGGAAGATCATTTGGAGAGGACTTCTCCCCCTAGGATAGCATCTCAGAACCTAAGTCTTCAGTGTGCAGTGGTACCAATCATGAGAACTGACAGGATGTGTTACTTCTCTGTCTTTCAGGTGCTGGTTTGGTTTTTATCCTTTATCCAGAAGCCATCTCTACCTTGTCAGGATCCACTTTCTGGGCCATAGTATTCTTCATCATGCTGTTGGCCCTGGGTATCGATAGCTCGGTGTGTGTTCCCCAGTCTACTCTCTTCCTCCAGGTCTCCTCAGGGCAGGAGTGCTCCCTCAGTTCCAGGGTATAAGGGCTTCCAAACCTGAGTCAGATCAGCATGCATAGCCTAGGACCCTTGGGACTGAGCAGGGATTGTGGGCTAATATCAGAAAATCCAGACCAACAAATGCATCTGAATGGAATGTTAGAGCTGCAGTGGCCTTAGATCAAGAATCTCAAATATGGAAGAGAACTTGGAGCACAGAATGTCAGAATTGGAAGAGATCTTGGAAAACAGAATCTCAGAGTTGGAATGGTTCTTCGTACATGAAATGCCAGAGCTGGAAGGCACTCTAGAATCTATCTAGTGCAACCCCCTCATTTTACATAGAAGGAAATTGGGGCCCAGGAAAGTTGAATAAATCACCCTTAATTTTCTCATTTGTCAAATGGGGATAATAATATATGGTCTAACCACTCCATGCTGGGGGTAATCAGCTTTGAAGAGCTTTTAAAATATAAGATAATAAATGTGGAATGACTATAAAACATAACCCCTTCCTCCCCCTTACATGTGCACAGAACTTTAGGGTCACCAAAGTACTTTTATTGGTGTGATCTTATTCAATCTCTACAATAACCTGACAGCTGGGAGGACAGTTAGGAGGGCATTTAGGAGGGCAGGGGTTATGCTTACTATTCAACAGAGGAGGAAACTGAATCTCACAGAGATTGAATGACTTGACCCCAATCACATGGGAAGTTATCAACAGAGAAAAGGCTGGAGCTAAATCCCCTGGCTCCTTCCTTTTCTAATGTGCTTTCAATTATACCAGACTGTCTCTTAAAATGAATTCAAAATATGGCTTATCTATAGCTGACAAAGGTGTTTGTGTGAGGGGACACCTTTAGAATTTTACAGTATATGGGCTGTGGTGTTTGGTTGGCATCAGTCTTATGTCTGGATCTCAAACAAATAGGGGTACTTTACATCTCACATCCATTTAGAATGCCTTGGGGTAACATGTTCCTGTCCTCTACATGATATATTTTGAAAGGCAGACAAAGTTTTCCCTTTCCTGACCAAAAATATTCGCTTTTCTGGCTTTCTATGGCTTTCTATGGTTCCTAGAATGATGATTGTTTAAGTTACTGCTTTAGGTTAAAGTATGGCCTCCTGAAGACCTCTTTGAAAATGTAAAAATGTAACATGTTACAGAAGTACAAGGTATAACATGTTAAGTGATTAGTATGCGTTATAAGATTATCAGTTCTTTGGTAGAGGGCAGAGTCCTGAGGAGATGGGACTCAGGGAACACTTAATTACACAAGCTCATGCATGTACACATCTACACATAGTGGTTAATTTAGTGATTTAGATGGGAACAGAAGAGAAGAGCGATACAAAAATGAGGAGTGGGGGGAGAGACTCGCGAGTAGAATTATTAGAGGCCTGCTCATGAGTGAAGACATGTCTCATATACCCATTTAGTGGAGCTTTGCCATTTTTCTAAGAGGGATCCATGCAGGTCCTTGGATACTATGTTTCTTAGTACTGGCTGTTTTCTGAGAGAGCTGCTCTGCCTCAGCTCGCCCCTTCCTGTCCTCTGTCTCCATTGTTGTGTCCTTCATCATGCTGTTGGCTCTGGGCATCTGCGGCACCTTGGTTCATAGCAGAAGAGGATTCTGAGCCTGCTGTGGTTCTCTCTAGATGGGAGGCATGGAGGCTGTCATCACTGGCCTTGCAGATGATTTCCAGATCCTGAAGCGGCATAGAAAGCTTTTCACATTTGCTGTCACCTTTGGCACCTTCCTGCTGGCTCTGTTTTGTATCACTAAGGTGAGTCATTGACTAGGGCAGGTATTAGGGAGAAGAATCAGGTTTTTGTCAACCACTGCTTGTGGTTGAATCTGTTAGTGGGGCCGTGGAAGAGCCCTGATCTTGGAGCCATCAGTCTTGAGCTTAAGACTCAACTCCACCATTCTAGTTGCGTGACCTTGGGCAAGTGATTTCTCTGGTCTGGACCTCAGTTTCTTCATTTGCCAAATAAAGATCATAATTCCTGCCTTGGAGCATTGTTGTGAAGATTAGATGATAGGATGGATTTGGGAACAGTGTGTAAAGCATAGAGCATTCATAGATTAAGAACAAGGGACCTTAGGGTCCATCTAGTCCAACCACCTCATTTTACAGATGAGGAACTGAGGCCCAGAAAAAGTAAGTGACTCGCCCAAGGTCATGCAGAGAGTGACCGAATATATATGCACATGGGCATGTATAATACTGTGATATCAGTATTACTATGACCTTTTTGGATAATCACTTTGTCAGAAACATGTTCTAGGGAACATAGAAAATGCACATACCTAAGAACTATTCATGGAAATGAGACTGTCACTGTCTGCCCTTTCCCTATGGCCTGATCTCCTAGTGAGCTGAAGTCAACTTTGAGAAAGATTTACCACTCAGGTCCTCTCCATTTAGCTTCCAAGCTTTATTTCTTTCCTTACAATTATCTGTGACTCTTTCCTTTCTCCATATCTGGTTGGTTGCCAAGTCCCATTAACTCTACAAACACTCCTAGCACTATTCTGTTCTGTGTACTTAGAAGCTACCTTCTTCTATTAAGCCCTCATCACTTTTCACTTGGACTGACTATTATGATAGAGCCTTTAACTATTCTCCAACCCCCTCTCTTTACTAATTCATTCTCCATATAGCTGCCAAAATCACCTCCCTGAGGCATAAGTTGCATTACTCCCTTGCTCAATAATGTTCAGTGACTCCCTATTGCCTTGAGGATAAAATACAAAATCCTTAACCTGGCATTTAAAGATCTTCATAATCTGGTTCCCACCTACCTTTCTAGACCTATTTAATTTTACTCCTCTTCATATACCCCACATTCTAGTTCAGCTAGACCACTGGCGTCCTCCAAACTTGATATGCTATCTTCTATCTCCATTCATTGTTACAGGCTGTCTCCCATGCCTTGGATGTTCTTCCATGTTTTCTCCACCTTTCAGACTCTTTTTCATCCTTAAAGATTCTGCTCAAGAATGATCTCCATGATGCCTTTTTTATCTCCCTGGATAAAGAGGGTCTTTCCCTCCTCATTTTTTTTTCCTAAAGTACACTGCATAGATCTTCTTGTCCCCACCATATACAATATTATCCCATACTTAATCTATTTCCATATCATATCCTTCCTTGTTAGATGATAAGTAATTTAAGGGAAGACAGTATTTCATATTTGGGTACTTGTAGTACTTACCTGACTCCAACCCCATAGAACATAAACTCCTTAAGAGCCAGGACTATGCCATTGTTTTAAACGATGTGACTCCAGCAATGTCTTCTGCACACAGTTGGAACTTAGGAAATGTTTGTTGAATTTACATTCAACATGGAAGTGAATGTAATTTTTTTTTTAATTCTGTGCTCCAGGGGGGAATTTATGTGTTGACATTGCTGGATACATTTGCTGCAGGGACCTCCATCTTGTTTGCTGTTTTAATGGAAGCCATTGGTGTTTCATGGTTCTATGGTAAGTGTTTTTGTTTTTGTTTTTATTTTCCCTAGGGGTCTTAGAGAAGTGACTTATCTCTATAACAGCCTGGCATATAGTATTTATGCAGCGCTTAATATCCAAAGTGGTGAATTATAATTGTGTGATCCTCCTAATTTATAGGAATAGTTCTAGATTATCCGTTTAATGTATCAACCATGAATGTCTTAACTTGGGCTCACTTCACACTCCTGGGGAATTTGTCTCTGACACAAGGTGGTGTGTGTGTGTGTGTGTGTAGGAACATCTCATAGGAACAAAGATCTAAAGCTGGAAGAGACCTCATAGTACATGTAGTCCAAAGCCTTCATTTTATAGAGTAGGAAACAGAGGCCCAGAGAGGTTTAGTTATTGGCCCAAAGTTATAACATAATAAATAACAGAGCTGGGATTTGAACATTTGACTTCAAATCCCCTTTCCTCTGTAAAAAAGCATCAGTCTTAAGATTAACTTTATTAGGAAAAGGAAATTGATGCTCAAAGGATCATATAATTCAAATGATCACAAAATACCTTATTTATTGAATTATTCACTCTTCTGATTTATCCAGAATTTACACTTTTCTATTTCTGCCAATAGTCAGGAGTTGATTCTGCAGGTATATAGAAAAATAATACCAGATGCCCTTTAAGAAACAAAATTGCTCTCTAACCCTTTTACCTCAGGGTTGGTCAGCATTATATTTGACTTTATAATTTTTCTTCACCAAGAGTGGCAGTAATTAGTTTAATTCCATTAATGTTTGGGGAATCACTTGGTGCTGAAACTAGGGCAGGTTAAGAGTAGCCCTTTTGTTCTCAATGGCATTTGGACGTCTTTTCCAATGTGTGTGATTTATCTTGGACAAAGGCCTTCTGCTTGACTAATGTATTTTGTGTGTGTGTGTGTGTGTGTGTGTGTGTGTGTGTGTGTGTGTGTGT